TTTCAATGACATAAAAAATAAATTAGCCATATTATCCTTTGCCCCTCACTTTTGTATAATGAATGGTTAGTGCACACGTTCCTTTCCAAAACGGGAACGGCCAGTTTGACACCACTGGTGAAGAACTGTACGAGTCAGGGCCATTTTGCATATGATGTTCACGGAAAACATATCCCGACCCTTGCGTATTCAAAAGAGGATATTTTTCTTTTGATAAAACCATTTAGCGTATTTTGGGGTAAAAAGCCAATCAGCCATCCGCCTAGACCGGTGAAGACTATGACTATCTATCTGCCGGTAATATACATTTAATGCTAGATTTCATTTTGATGGCGTAAAAGTTGTTTCAGGAGTTAAATCCGACTGAAGTGTACGCAGTGTTTTTTTTAGCCCACTGCAAACCACATAGTGACAAAAGAGTTACCTCCCTCTTTGTGCCCCCTCGGACGTCGGGCTTTGTATAAGAAATTAGATGACGTAACTTAATAAACGCTGTATTTAATTTCACATATAATTCTTGAAAATAACAGTTCGGACAAATATTGTTTTGTTTTTGTTCAAAACATCATTAATTACACTAGTGAACTGTTGTTTCTTTGTATTTACAGGAAGATTATCTGCCTTGAGAACGGGAGGTCGGTGGTACGATCGCTGGTCGCGTCATATCAAAAGGCGTTAGAAGATAGTACAAGCTGTTACTTTACTTCAAAATGTAGTACCTGTCTGGCGCTCGGCATTAAGGGGAGAACACAGTACATTGTCGGACGGTCGGGTAGCCTAGAGGTTAATGCGCTCGCTCGTCACGCCACAGACCCGGGCTTGAGTCCCGACATGGGTACAATGTGTGAAGCCCATTTCTGGCGTTCCCCGCCGTGATATTTCTGGAATATTGATAAAAGCGGCGTAAAACCTCACTCACCCAATACGTTATACTATGGTATGTTTCTCAGCGGGTTTCCACTATAAAACCGACCTTAGCCTGGACTAGTACAATCAGCCGCGCAAACACACGCGCCAACGCACACACACGCGCGCACACACACACACGCACGCACGCATGCACGCACGCACGCACGCGCGCGTACATGCACATCGCTGTGTAAGTGAAATAATTTTGAACGCGACGTAAAACCCCATTTCACCTCACCCCACATCACGTACGTGTTAGTTTCTACTGGCTTTGGAGAGTGTAATTGCAGACGCCTATGATCCGTGTATATTATTGAGGTAAGGACGCCGTGTTGGGTGGTCTGCATTGAGTGTGATAGACAACATACATTAAGGACGTTAGTGAAATAGGGCAAGAACCACCGTCCATCCGCTCCCCGTCCGTGCAGATGCTCTGCGGCATTGTATCTCAGTGGAACCAAAAGTACAATCATATTAAACACGACGTTAACCCCATTTCACCCAACCTGTGAAGGATCACACTGAAAAAAATTCGCGAAAACTTCACAGTCTTTAGTGTTAAAGTCAAATCTTTTGGGAGTGTTTTTAAAAAATATATTTTACGTTCGCCTCAAATACTCCTTCGGAAAGAAAATCGAAAAAAAAACCATGATGTGATACCTGCTATGCATCGAATAATCACGTTTCACAGTTTCAGGGATCAAGCAAAAAAGGAAACTGATTGGGTGATGCTTCTTTTATCCGTTCTGTCTAAAATTCTAATGAGAGAGCTAACTTTTCGTGTCACAATGGGAAAGCTCAGAGCTTAAAATGTCAAGCCAAAATCAATCGCACATTGCGATTTTATGTGTGTTTCAGCTTAAATGCATTTTCAGTGTCAATTTGGTAACCTTCGTTGACTAGATTTCCATTTATTATGGCATAAATAAATCCAAAGATGATTAAAATACAGTATCTTACATTGCGTGTGTACAAGTTTATCTTTCGCAATCTACTTCTTTAAATTTGTTTTGTAGTCATGAGTTAATGTCTCGTGTCACGTGACATCTGCAGCTCAGCCACTCCCGTACCCAGGGTTCCTTGCGGTCAGCCAAGGACGTTAGTCTGGGACCCGTCTCTTCGCATCACACACACAACGGCTTCAATTAAATGTTTTTTGTAGATAAATGTAACGTTTTCATTTCGAAAGATAATGGGTGGCTCAGATGGATGTCACTGATCGTGAGGTTGTCGCTCGCTGTTGTGGAACTTCTATTTTCGAGTACTTTTTCGATGCTGATGCCCTATTTTCTATGTTTATGAATGCCTTTGAAACTCAGCTTTGAGGCTTAATCGTGAAAGGGAGGGACATTTACAAAGATTTGCTAAACCAAACGAGATAGTCACACACATCGAATTCGCTTTGCATTCCATGTTTAAGAAACAAACAACGAGTGGGAGTTGTTTATCGTACAATAAAACACCACAGGGAGAATAAACCATGAGGGGCGCAGATTTTTTCATGTGACTATACTTAATCGGCCATGGACATTATTTTGTATATATTACTACAGTAAATCAGTCATGCCAATGATGTTTTACGTGACAGGTTAACGATATTTATATCTTAAAAATCAGGCTTTTTTCAACTATAGTTATGTGAAATAATCGGGTCTTTTTGGGGTAGTAGGTATTGTTTGTTCAACCGACAAGGAAAGGATAATCAAACAAACAATTGTCTGGCTGTATTTATATTCTGGATGTGCCTTCGTACCCCGACGACGACATCTATAATAATACAGGTCAAAATAAATACAGCTTTCTCTTGTTTAACTCGGCAACCAATAGTAACGGACAGGTCACCATAGAAACCCATGCCCATAGCCGATTTTTACGATCAGGTGGATACAATGTGTACCCTGGAGCCATATTGATAAAACAGCATCTGTGGTTAAAATGAACACTTTAAAAGTCTCTTTTTTCCTAGTATATAGCCTGGCTGCTACATCGACGAGTTGGTTCGTTGCTCATTCTATCAACCTCTGGTCTGGCCTGGCTCAGACTCCATTATTGACAGTCAGCCGTGGTATAGCTGGAATATTTATAGCCTATTAACTGTGGCGTGAAACAACGTCCATTTAAGGGTGCTACATACCGCGTTTAGCCTGCAACTTCGGGGTATCGAGGTACTTGTTATGTACGCTAAACGGAACAATATGCACTCACTAAACTTTATGATTATTCGTGTTCTCTATATCGGGTGTAATTTATTTTATCTATATGCATATTTTACTGATAAAAGTTCATTATTTACATTAGACGCGCCGAGTAATAGCATGGCCTCGCGCTCAGTTTGACAAGGGAGATAACTCCATCGTATCGCGATACAGGGAAAAGTTGTGAATGGAGGTCCAAATTTGACAAAAACGTATGATGATGCCAGACAAGTGCAAAGACAGCACAAGTAAAATCTGAATGTGTTATCAGTAATAGGTAGTCAACGCATATTAACCGAAAAGTAAGAAAAAAATATTAATAACAATAATTTGTTTTTAAAAAAATGGAAAAAAATGTTAAAAGTTAACACTAAATATATAAAAAGCACTTCTTTCATGACAAAAGTATACATTTATCATTTCGCTACTAGCTGTGAAGAACATATTTCTTAGTATGGTATTATGGCCCTAATGATCTCCTCATAAATTCTGCTCACAGAGCGTTAAAGAATGTGCGGACTATGTAACTTCCGTTACCTTATTAGTCGCCATGAATATGCAGATTATCTAGTTCAGGTCGAGAGAGAAAGTCTACTTGGGAAACTGCGGGTTATATCATTGTCCGTTGATAGGTGGGGAAAAGGAATAAAAGATGCCAGAAGTAAGTATACTCGGTCCCCGTGGTACCGCGGCATTCATGGTATTCACGGCATTTGTGATTTCCGGTAGTTCACGCGGGACACGCCTCTTAGCGGCTGTCTGTTAATGCAAATCAGTAACCAGGAAGTGCTCACTTCGTAAACAATTTCAATTTCCTCGGAATGTAAATAAGGAGTTATTAATACGTTGATACTTACTTCTTGCATCTTTTTTACCCCCATCTACCAATGGCCAACGATATAACTCGCAGTTCCCCAAGTAAACTTTCTCTATCGACCTGAACTAGATCATCAGCATATTCAAGGATACTAATAAGGTAATCTATTGGGAGATCATAAGGGCCATAATGCCAAACTTAGAAATACGTTCTTCACTAGTAGCCAAAAGATAAATACATTCTTTGGGCATACTAGGAGAGTTTTTAAAATTTTTATTGTTGACTTTTAACATTTTTCCATTTTGTGACAAATAATGACCAGCCATTTTTTAAAAACAAACCATCTTAGAATATCATTTCTGATATTTTGTTGTTGATTTTTAAAATATTCTTCTCATACTTTTCGGTAAATATGCATTGAATACCTATTACTGATAACACATTTAGAATTTTACTAGTGCTGTCTTTGCACTTGTCTGGACAAATCACTAATGTCTGGCCAAGTGGTTGGTAGAATTATGTCCTCTTTCTGTCCAATTCGGACCTCCATACAAACCTTTCTCTGTCAAACTGAGCGCGAGGCCCGGCTTTTACTCGGAGCTACTTATGTAAATAATGAACTTTTATCAGTAAAATATGCATTGTTAGATAAAATAAATGACACCTGATATAGAGAACACGAATAATCATAAAGGTTAGTGAGTGCATTTTGTTCCGTTTAGCGTACATAACAAGTATCGCTATACCCCGAGGTTGCAGGCTATCACCACGATAATGACTCCTTATAGCAGACGGAACATTCCGAGAAAATTGAAATTGTTTACGGAACAAATTGGTTACTGATTTGCATTAATATAGACAGCCGCTAAGAGGCGTGTCCCGCGTGAACTACCGGAAATCACAAATGCCGCGATACCATGAATGCCGCGGTACCACAGGGTCCGAATATGCTATCAAAATGCGTCCATCACTCCTACCAACGCTGATGCGCACACGGTTGCCGTGTCGGTGTTACATGACGTCATCGCTACAAAGCTTATGACGTCACACTGAACTGTCATGTGAGGCAGTACACATGGAAAGAAATGGCGTCGGTTGAGCTTGAGAAGGTTTTGATCGACAATGTAGTTTACGAAGACGGGGAGGGGAAGGAGGATGGGGGTGTCAAGGACATCAAAGACAGCAGAGCTGCCTGGATAACCTGTGTCTGTGCTGTGTTCGACCAATTGTTTATCAATGGCTTGATAAACGTTTATGGTGTGTTTTATGTCGAGTTTTTAAAGGAATTCGGAACCAGCAAAGCCAAAGCAGGTAATCTGACTGAATATCACTCAGCATGTAATACGTTTAGGCAAATTATACTTTGCTGGTCGCTGTTTTGGTACCACTCAACGGCATCATAAAAAACCCCTAGATATATATCAAGGATAATAACGTATACATGATATATATTTACATTTATTGGGTAAGTTGTGCAAGGGTAGGTTACCACTAACTCTACCATTAGTCCTGCAAAATGGTGGCGATTGTATTCTATAGCGGCTCCGCTATTTTATGCACTGTAGGAAAATGTAATCCTTTTTGGAGTGTGAGTTAATATTCAACGTCACACCGGCAATATATCAGCCATAAAGTTACCATAATCCTTTCGGAATTGATCAATTATTTTTCTATGTCAGGGGTATATGACATTTGGGATTCTGATAATTTACCGGTACACATGCAGGGTTCACTCCAGGAATGTTCTGACATGGGCCCTTTATGTGAAAATTTAAAATATTCCAGAGGGACACCCACACTTGCCCATACAGCACAATGTTGAAATGCCCATTGTACTAGTTTTTGAAAATGTGGGTTTTTTCAAATTTAGGGGCTGAAAGGCCTCATTCTAGAATTATCCCTTCACGTGTATCTTACCGCAGTTACCGGATATTGTTTGATGCTGCAAAAAGAATTGTCTTTGACGGAAAATTACGCATATCAGGTACTGACACAGAACATGTATCCTTAATAATTGTTTTCCGTTGTCAATCATACCGCGTAAAATATGTACCTTGAGAATGAACAAAACAATGAATAAATTAACAAGACATTGGAAACAAAGGATGTATTTTTGCCAGTCCGTATAATCTATATTGATCAAATATGTGTGTTATAATAATATAAGTGTTGAGTACAGGTTATATATAACAGGTCTGTATCAAGTAGACGGACCAGCAAAGAACATGTCATCCAAAACTTTCAACGGTTGACAGATTACAGTCTGTGGAAGCGGTGTAAAATATAAAGGGAATGCCGACATTATGATATACGAAAACTCGTCGCATCGATCAAAACCCAGTCAAATTAGTCTCCTCGTGCTTGGTCCCAGTTCGGATGTTGTTCGTGACCGTCCTCTCGCGAGGGGCAAATGTTTACACTGACGTTATCTCCCTTTGACCATAACAACGCAAAGCTCCATTCGTCACCACTCGCCCCTCTCCGTAACCTGCAAGAAGACTCGTCCCCCTCTCGATGAATGTTATGTGCGAAAATACAACAAACCAATCAGAATGCGCGAAGTTCTTCGTCAAAGAATCCCTCAGATATAATTTTTGATTTTTCATATGTCTTGCATCTAAAAAAATACCCAAGACACAGTTAAATGTGTTCAATCATACTGTATAATTCCGCATGTCCAGATGTGCTTTATTTTGTATCTGAAATATATATAATATATGGGGAAATATATGTGAACCATTACGCAACGAGTTGACAATTGTTTTAGGTATGCCTGTTTGCTTGCGCTAAGACGGAACCCGGTCGCAAAAATGGCCACGAGAGGAGCACGAGTCGGCTTGTCCCGGAATAACATGAGTTGGTCACGAATGCGCAAAGCTCTTCACAGCGATAGCCCGTTCATGGGGGCTCTCCATGCATACGATCGCCACCACCAGTCACAGCTTAAGAGTGATAGGCGGCCACAACCATGCTTGGAGTCGAACTCGCAAATGACTGACCGTTATGTTTACAAACAAATGATGACTGTCGTGACGCCTGATACTCCTCGGCCCTGCTAAATTATTTAACTATCATGTAATTGGTATAGTAAGAATATGAGGGGTTTGGGGGCGGGGGCGTTATAAGAACTATGAGTGCATGCAGGTACTATGAGTGTATTCGCTGCTGGGCGATGCGTTAATTTGGGTCATATAAGTTCATCGCCAAGAGAAAGTCGTGTATGTTCATGCCTATCTGCATACTTCATACAATGCATGCGCCATGGCCTCCGTAAAACATTGCTGTCGTGCACAAACGTGGTTTTGAACTGGTCAAAACCCAGACAAACATATGTACCCAAAATGAACATACGGATCGAGAAATGGAAACACACTTAGCAACAATTAAAGCGTTTCGGATGTAGATTTAGTGTGACTTGTAAAGGCGAACAACAGACACTAAATGTTGTTTTAAACATAGCCCATTGTCCGATGGTCCGATGGATCGAACACAAATTGTGAAACTTACATTGTCGTGTCCAATACACAAACGCTTCATTCCATAATCATCTTTTTCCCCTTTTCCTGTATCTACAGTGTGGTAATTGTGGAATGAAACGTGGTGAGGTGAGGTGAAATGGGGTTTAACGTCGCGTCCATGATTATTGCACTTATATAGCAACGTGCATGTACGTGTGTGTGTTTGTAGCTGCTTGTACTAGTCCGGACTCATACCGATTTATAGTGTTAGTTCACTGAGATACCATGCCCCAGTTTAACATGAATACCCCACTCAGACACAGTATATTGACCCCGAGCCGACCAGTCCTTGTTTTAGCCCCTCAATGCCGAGCGCCAGACAGGGTAACAAGAAGTACCATCTTTTAACGTCTTTTGGTATGACGCAGCCGAGGATCGAACCCCGGACCTTCCGCACTCCGGGCGGACGTTCTACCACTAGACCACGGAGGCGGTCATTGAATGAAACGTTTGTGTATTGGACACGACAATGTAATTTGACAATTTGTGTTCGATTGATGTACAATCGGATAATGGAACATGTTAAAACAAAGGGACGCAACCCTGCTCTGCGAAATGCGACACCTCGGACAACAAACAATTTTACGTTGCAGTCTAAATTATCTGTCACTCGCGCTTTGATCCCCATTGAATCCCACGGCCGCAGAACGTTTTTGTTTTATGTGTTCTTTCGTTTCTGTGTTCCAGCCTGGCTGGGTTCCCTGACGTACGGAATTATGAAGTTGTTTGCGCCAGTCGTCAGTGTCCTTGTGCGCCGATACACAAACCGGATGTCCATGATAACCGGATGTGCCTTCTGCGCCGTCTCTGTACTTTCCACTTCCTTTGTGACTAACATCGACGTAATGTTTGTAACCTTTCCCTTACTGTATGGCATTGGATTCAGCCTCGTCATCAACCCAGCCATGGTAGTTGCGAACGGGTAGGTGAGAAGGGTGGGAACAGCTGGTAACGGATTCGCATTTCAGTTAATAATGTTATTTATAATAATGTTCTGAGGTCAGATAAGTTTGGATCTATTATGGTCAGTCTGTGACTGGCCCAGACTCGATTATTTACGGGCCGCCTTCATACATACCTCGAAAATTAAACAACAAACAGACAGTCAAGTCTAATGAGTGGACGTTTCGACGTAACAGTCACTCAAGTTCAGTTATATACATGAAATACTTATTCTCGTTGTAACGTTAGGAAAAGCTATGCCACCAAGGGTCACGTAAGTATTAGTCAATCGTCGGTGCCGAAGGCCACATCGCTTTGAGAGTTTCCCGTGAAGTTTCGGGATGGAATTGGCTAATACATGCTTGTCGCAAGAGGCGCCTAACGGTATCGGGTGGTCAGGTTCGATGACTTGGTTGATGCATGTCGTATCCCATTTGCATAGATCGATGCTCATGATGTCAATCACTGAAATGTCTGCCCCAGACTTGATTGTTACACAAACCGCCGTCATATAACTGGGATTTTGTTGAGAGCGACGTTAAACATCAAACAAACAAACAAATACAATTATGCGAGTTTTTGTATGGAATTATTGAATATCTTTTGTATTCCACAGCTACTTCGACAAACACATAGGTCTCGCTACTGGTTTGGTTTGTGCCGGCAGTAGCCTGGGGTCCATCACTCTAGCGCCGGTATGCCAGCGCCTGGTGGACACAGTGGGCTGGAGAATGACCTTCAGATATCTGACTGGGGCCTACATCGCCCTCTGCTTCCTCAATCTCCTCATCAAGCCCCTCCCCCGGGGGTCGCAGCGTCCAATAGACAACATAAGTCAGCCTGTTATTCGGGGACTTATTGAAGATCTTAAGCTGTGGAAAAATCGCGTGTTCCTGTTGTGGGCGGTGGCAACGGCGTTTGTAATGTTTGGGTACTTCATACCAAACGTGCATCTAGTAAGTGACAATTTACCCATGATACCTGCTTATGTTTCATTTTTGCATTTGTACTTGCCCCCTAAAGCCGAATACGATGGACTCATTTTCAGTCACTTTAACGCGTTAACATAACACATTAACAAGCTGTCTTTCGGTATTTAAAGACGCGCAATGTCCCATACAATAATGCTTTAGTTTAAGAGATATATTGTATAATTCAAACAAATTGTTGTAACTGGTGAGCTCTACTGTGGTGGGAGCACGGATGTCCATTGAGCACCTCATCCGTACACGGGTGCGTTGGCTTGAATTCTTGCCTTCAATGATACAATGCCCGCAGTTTTCCCACACAGTGTAGGTTATAAACCCCTGTGACCTGACCATGCGGACACACTGTGATACTGGTGAGACATGTGCCTCGTCGGTGTATTTGCTGATTTAAGCACCGAATTTCCCCGAAATAGAAACAAAAGGCTAATATAGTTGACTGTATGCACTTTTGTTTATCGGATGATAGCTTGTCTTACTGTTCTTTCTCCTGCGCTTCCTTAGGTATCTTATGCCATGGATCAGGGTATATCCGCAGATACTGCTGCCTATCTCCTCATGGGGCTAGGGTGCGCCACCACCATCGGTCGTATACTGTCTGGAAAGATTGTCCAATATGGCTTCCTAAACCGCCTCCACCTCCACCAACTTACAATGATCATTACGGGCACGGCTTTCATGATTCTCCCTTGTATTGAATCTTTCGCTGGCCTCCTGGCCTACTCCATTGTCCTGGGCCTCGTGGACGGGTGTTACGTTGTGCTGCTGCCTATCCTGACGAGTTCCCTGATTGGAGCTGACAAAGCTGTCCTAGCATGGTGCTTCATGTCCTGTGTCTGCTCCTTGACATTTTCATTGGGACCTCCAGTGTCAGGTGAGGGAGTGAATGTTGTCAGCAATATCCCGCTAAGTAACGGATATCTGTAAATAGTTGAGCCGCGCGCCGGAACTAGTTATTGTTGCGTGAGCAGAGAGCCATGATGTTGGGACTGGGTGACACAGAGCCGGTAAAACACCATAAACATCCCATTCCTCGTCTATATAATGTATACGATAACCTATTCGAAACTCGAATATCTGTACCGGAATGAAAATTGTATGTCGACATCATTTATTACTTATTCATGTTTACGAATCAACAGGTTTCCTCTACGACACGACCGGCAACTACAACGTCGCCTTTCACATCGCCGGCATCCCAGTAATCCTTGGCGCTGTGATCCTGTTCTTTGTACCCTGGGCCCAGCGCACCTCCACCACGACCAATTTGATGCGGGTCATCAGCATGGAGGCTGAGGACCATCCCAAGGCATCGGCCGGAAGTTCACCTTCAGGATCTTCTGATGAGACTCTGCATCTCTCTATCCCAGAGACCGGAACTCTGCCCTATGCTGGCATGCCGTGCTTCATAGATCCTTACTTTGGTTCTTCCAAACAGGATAGTAGCTTAGCAGAGAACTTCGGTAGGAAACAAGATGAGACGAAGAAACATGTAGCCGGCGTTCAGCCTACAGGTGGATCTGTTCCTGATGACTGCACATTTGAGTTTGGTCACGATACCCACGAAGAGCAGGCCAACCCAATGCCACACAACTCCGCACCGACGTTTGATGCAATAGGAAACATAGGGTCATCACAGGTACATGCATTTCTCATCTACTAAAACCATTACGACGAGCCTGACTTTAAGTGAGTGAGTGAGTGAGTTTGGTTTTACGCCGCTTTTAGCAATATTCCAGCAATATCACGGCGGGGGACACCAGAAATGGGCTTCACACATTGTACCCATGTCGGGATTCGAACTCGGGTCTTCGGCGTGACGAGCGAACGCTTTAACCACTAGGCTACCCGACCGCCCCCCTGACTTTAAGAGCCAATAATACATTAGGAGTCGATGACAGTACATGCAATGAATCTTCGTGCTCTAAAACTCCTGATTGGAGTCCCTGCCGGCGGTGTAGTCTTATATCGGTACTCCACACCTCAGAATGCGGATAACTAAACATTATATTCGATGTTCAAGCGACTTCAACTTAACCGAGTTTCACTGTAGCATTATTTCTGTTCTGTTTAATTATTTATTGAACAGAATAACGCATTTTTTATGATGATCAAACATAAATGTTAACAGAATATGTTTGCTTAATGTGTTCTGATGTATTTGACAATATATTTTGCCTTGGTTTCAGTTTATTTCAATACCGAGACGGGGCTATTCCTTCATTGATGGCTACTTGGAGGAATTGCGCAAGGCAGTGTACCGTACCCGAACACTTCAGTGTTCCTCTGGTCTGGTCCCAACACCGTCCCCTGAAGCTGGCAACACCGAGACACCACCAGCTGCTGCTCATCTGAGCTCAGTCTCTTCACTTCCCGCCTCATCAATGACCAGCTCCGTGGATCGACTCCTTCAGGAGCATATAGACATGTTCCTCGCCAGCATCGCCTCCAGGCGCGTATCAGACATGTCCATATCTTCAGGGCCAAGTAGATCAGCCTCCAGGTCATTCAAGGGCAGTGAAGAACCCTCCAAATCTTGTACCAGAACGCCAAGCAACAGGTCAACCCAGAGCCGTACAACTCCAAACTGTGCTATGGCTTTAGCCGGAGCTCAAAATGAGCCTCGGAGTAGGTCTGTATGTTCAAGAGGCTCTTTGAACAGGACTGTAGATTTAAGCTTGAGTGGCACCCATTCAAGTGGCTTCGTGCCTTCAGCTGTTCTGGCAACTGCCGGGGCAAACCAACAGATGCCCGTGGAGTCTCACAGTCGGACGTCCGACGCGTCGGGAGATGGGACTCAGAGCTCCAGTCTAAGCAGGCTTCGGAAAACATCCAGCACTAGCACTGGAACAGGATTTGTGGAACTGGACGTTTTCAGTCATCTTTTCAAAGATGAAGAAAGTTAATGTTATTCTGATAACGTATATCTGCTACTAATGCCTCAAAGCGCTCGACGACTGTCGTAAGTCTGAGATTAAGAGAAGCAGTCCCTGGCGGTTTCAACAGACACATGGATACAATGTGCTAAGCCGGTTCTTGGTGTGACCGGGTGTGATATGATGTCATAAACCCCGCTTCTCACACATGTTGTTCATGCTTGTGAAGATATTTATCAAACTATGTGACGCTGCCGTACTGGTTCTGTTCGTCGTAGAGGTAAGAAGCTGGCTTGTCACATTGACTACCATAGTCATTGTTGAGAAGGCATCATCTCTAAAAGCTATGAAATCTTGGAGGCTATCGATGAATCTTGCGTGACATAAATTTTTCAGAATTATTGATTAACTTATAAAAGTAAAGTATAAGAGAGAGAGAGAGAGAGAGAGAAATCTCCGTGTAAGATTACCGTAATTCCCACATCATTATGGTAGTCTTTGTGATGTTGGGGCTGGCGAGGCCTGGTCCGTGTTCCACAAAGTTAAGGTCTATCCAAATCCGGAATTCACAGAGACAGTTTCGCTTCATGGGACGGAGTCCTGGACATTGGCACTTCCCGATCCCCTTTGTAGTCGTCTTGTAAGGCAAGCATGGGCTACTGAGAACAAACAGCGTAGGGCAGAACAGGGATATATTCGCAACCTTTAAAATTGTTAATAAATCTATTTATGACAACAGCTGGAAATGTTTGTTGATACTTAAATTAGCAGTGTGGTTATAGACAGTCCTTGACCAAAAATCATCTACACCGGATACTATATATTTATAATCAACCAAATTTAATGTTAAAAACATTCGGAAAAATGTTGGGCTCCTGGTAGGGGTCACTATACCGTGCGTGCGTGCGTGCGTGCGTGCGTGCGTGCGTGCGTTAAAGTGCCAGCCCACGACAGACCATGCCACAGTTTAACATGAATACCCCACACAGACAGTATACCGAGTCCGAGACGACCAGTCCTTTTTTTAGCCCCTAAATCGAGCACCCGACAGGGTAACAAGTACAATTTACGTCTTTTAGTATGACACGTCCAGGGGATCGAACCCAATCTGCCACTCTCCTGGCAGACGCTCTATCCACTAGACCACGGAAGCGGTCGACAGACAATGTGAGTTTGAGGAAGTTTGTTCAATTAACTATAAGTATACCGGAAACAAACATGTATTTCGGTTCATACAAACAAGAAAACTAAACTGAGCATAGTCATGTTTCACCAAGGCTCAACGTTTACCAGTACTAATGCCACAGAGTGATCCTGTTACCCACTTCATGTGAGTCACAGCTATTGAAGTTGTTTCAATGGTAACTAGATATAGAGAAACTCAGATTTATTTGATATCATGAGACGAGAGCGAGAATTTATTTATCATCCAACATTCATGCTTCCAACCTTTTCACTTTGTAGACAGTAATAAGCAGTGTCTGAAGTGTTAAACGTACTGCTAACAGCTTCAGTAGCAGAGCCATTAGTGGTGTCATTTGATTGTGACTTCGTGGTAACCAATGACGTCACAAGTGTCTGCAAAGCATTGTGATGCAATTTCATTGCAGCGATATCTACAATGTAGATATCACTTGATCTCAACTCACGTGAAAATGGTATCTAACGGGAATGAGTGTGGTATTTTGTTTATTACCTAGATTAGATATATATTTAAGTGTAATTACATAATAACTTTCTTTCGTTGACAAACCAAACTGAAACCAGTTGCAAAATATGGATGCGCATGAATATTGATATATGCCCAAATATGGGCATTGTTGACATTTCTATGCATACGTATTAACAACATGCTCTTGCTGTTGTGTTTGCTAATACAACAGCACCGACGCTCACGATCCTTTTGGAAGAATTTCTTCACCTTAAGGTAATTCAAGCGCCATGTTGTTAGTACGCAGGACACCTATAAGAAAAATTGAAAAGTCACATTAGCGCCGCGCTTTGAATAGCGGACCAACGGTCGCTAGCTCGCACTGCCGGTGTCCCGGCTGTGTAATTAGAATGGTTCGGTTTATATCCTGTCCGTACCATTTTGTAAGAGGGAAATCAGAGTGTTCGACAAAGACATTCATTTTAACTGTACCACCCTATACTGCAGACGTGAAAATATACTCAAGTCTGTTTGCATGTCAGTGACAGCTTCGAACGAAGGGCAAGGTCACCACCGGTATAAGAAAAGACAACCGTTGAAAGTCGCGAAAATGGTCGGGTGTGTCACGCTCATTGGGGCCCTCGATCCATCGGTAGACATTGCATATGGATGTGCATGACTCGATTATATGATGTCTGCAGTAGCTCTATGCATAACTAATATAGAATGCAAAGCGAATTTAATGCGTGTTACGATCTTGTTTGGTTTAATAAAGTGTGTGTAAATGTCTCGCTTTCTGCTTTGTAGTTGAGAAAGCGAATGACGTCTCGCTATTCTTTTATGAATGAAAAAAGTAGTTCCGGTGTGAGACGGTTATCCATCCAATCAAAACGAATAAAACGAGGTCAGCCTTGTAAGACACACGTGTGACGTACGGATTTAGTATCTTACCACCTGTATCCTCACCACGTGGGTAATAAATGAGAACTAAACAACGAGTGGGAGTTGTTTATGGTACAATAAAACACTGCTGGGAGAATAAACTACTCGGGGCTCCGTTGTTTATTTCTTTTCTGAGATTATAACATTATGTACAGCCTCTTTAAGGATGTTAATAAAATGTACAAACTTTAAAAATATGTACCAGTATTTCAGTAATGATGACTTTTCTCCCAATTCCGATTGTCGTATATCTTCCACGTTTGGATGTGTTATTTCGAGCATTGCGTTTATCCAAATTGCCCAGCTACATCTGTGGGGAACGACGTCATCAAGTTGCAGGGGCATGTTCGAATCTCCACGAGACGTCGTGATAGAACAATGTTTTATCGTGAAATACACCACGCTTCGTTCTTTGCGATTTATCGCGTGGCTATCTTACATTAACAACTTAACATTAACTTCATCTAATGAAATGCGTGACCCGTGAAGATCCGGGTTAGGATAGGTCTTCAGCAACCCATGCTTGCCGTAAGAGGGGACAATGCTTGTCGTAAGAGGCGACTAACGGGATCGGGTGGTCAGACTCGCTGACTTGGTTGATGCATGTCACCGATCCCAATTGCGCGGATCATGATGTCAATCACTGGATTGTCTGGTCCAGACTCGATTATTTACAGACCGCCGTCATATAGCTGGAATATACTGCGGCGTTCAACAACAAACAAACAAACAAATGAAACGTGTGACAGTTATTCAGGCTGAAGCATTTATCATTGCAACAGGTCAACCATGACAGGTCACAGTTGTCTTCCTCGTCACCACATATATTCAAGCCAATCTTCAGCTGGTGGGTCCACATATAGCCACATATCGCAGTACAGTTACACTCGTACCAATGTCGGAAACTCATTCAAAAACTATAGGCCCAGTGGCAAAACTGTTGGCCCAAACATTTCAGCTGGAGCAGGGAGACATAGTCTTGCAATGGACATTACGAGACATAACCAGTCAACAGAAGCTATCCAGAGTTCCCAGAGACACCATGTCATACAACATTTGAAAGGTCTAATCCTACTGTGTATAATTATGGAAGTTATGTTTATAACATTACTTAAATAATGCTGAATAAATAATTACTTCAATAAACTGCAGGCCGTAAGGACCTGCTGAAATTTAAAATTATCAGCCCGAGAACAAATTTGTCTATGTCGAACACTGATTCGTACCTTGTCGGTTTGGACTGCTTAGCTGGTGGTAAGCTGGTTCACAACCACCGCTTGGTCGCCAGTCGAGACCATCAACATACACCTTACATTCAATAAGTGGCATTTCCAGCAAGAGCCATGGTGCATTACCCCAATAAATTCGCTTTATTACATTTACAAATTATATCAGTATTTTCATTGGGTGCGAAAGGGTAACATTACTTCTTTAAAACATGGCATGGCCCTGAGACCGACCCTGCCGTGGTATTGCCCTGAGACCCAGCCTGCCGTGGTATTGCCCTGAGACCCACCCTGCTATGGTAGGGCCCTAAGACCCACCCTGCCGTGGTATTGCACTACGGGATTAAGCCAATGAACTCAAGGGAAATAAACAGTAATCTCTTCCCTGACATGTTAGTCAATTATTGTTGAAGTTGTTGGTTATTAAACACTCAGTCTCATTAAAATCAGATCTTAGTTCTCGCTTTCGCTTAACAAAGATCTGAGGACATCCCATTACGGGTCACGTCAGAATGACCTTTCATCCGACCAATCAAAGCGTCGCTTATCAGATCATGAAAGTGACAGTCGGAATGTGTTTTCTAATCATGCAACCTCGAAAACGTTAACACGGGGTATTCTGAACGACATTTACGGCCCGTACGACTGATTCCGTCAAAAGTATCGTCTATCTCGCGCTTCCGTGGGATAAACATTTGAACGAGGGAGGCGTTGCACAGTACGTGGGAAGCACTGCCATACAATCTCAACCATATGTTAGACATTCCGGAATGTTCGTTTCCGTGTGCGAAATACGCATCAGTCGGAAAGCGCACGTTAAATCTCCAAAGTAAGTAAGTAAGTAATGTTCGTTTGTTCAGTTTTTAAAATTTTAATCGAGAACTTTGTCAACATATTTTTCAAGCGTATTCTGAAATGGAAGTCGCCAGGTTGAAACGAGTGCCCTAAAGCTCGAGAGAGCTGCTTTCTAATTGGCGACTTCTTGTTAGTCAATTCAGTGGTCGGTCAAAGCTCGCAAAAGGTCGTTCCGACGTGACCCGTAATCGGATGTCCTCAGATCTTTGTTTAGCGGCAGCGAGAACTCAGATCTGATTGTAATGAAATTGATAAACACTCAAATTTAAATATTCATGTATATTATATTATGTTATAAAACAGTAATTGACCAAAATTAGGGCATTGCCATGTTTCGTGGGTCCATAAAACATGACATTGTCAATACTTGATAATTATGGATCGGGGCCGTGATAACCACTTTACGATTTCCCGATCCCCTTTATAGTACCTGGTAGGACAAGTTTGAGAATCTG